TTTCCAGAGACTGTTCAAGGCCTGTTTCAGAAATTGTTCAAATGAATAGTTGGAGCCTGGTGGACTGAAGCCATCTGCTTTTGTCTGCTTAAGCTTCTAGGGTATGATGGGAGTAATTGGCTTTGCAGAGATAAATTCATAAATTAATTGCCGTTATGGGACACATTTATATAGTATATTATTACTCTCTATTTTAATCTAAGATGCAGGTTAAACTCATGTGCTTTTTGAGACAATGAACCTTGATATCAGTTGTGATTAAATGCATTTTGTAAGCACATAAAATACCATTAGACCAAAGCATCTTTTGGCTTTGGACCTTTTTAACTTGCCTCTAAGCTCTATCAGCAGATGTTTTGATTCAGTCCTTTCCTGGAATACTCAGGGAAAAGGATGCTGCCAACAGAATTTGTTAAAATTGGCTTTCATGGAAGCCTTTCTAGGTGGACTGCTTATCTTCGTGCTGTCCATGGGCTTGTTTCATTCAACATTTAGGATGAATTTAGAGGTTTTAACATAAAGCAAATAATAGGATTTTACACACTAAATATACTTGTCAAGGACAAATCCTGGAAACTCTTCCTGGTTTGTGACAGGCTTAGGCAGTGTCCTGTGTAGGACTTGAGATGCAAAAGTTTAATTTGAGCCCACAAAATTACATGTGGGCAATTTATTTTGCTGGTACAAATTGTAATTGGGCTTGTGTGTGTTAAATATTTACCAAAAATGGTGAATTTTAGAAACTGTGTGGGCAGGGCTTTGTAAGTGTGCGTGTAATGGGTTTGGGGTTTTGTTGTGGTTTTTTTTCAAGTAGTTCAATGGATAAGAAAGAGCTTCTGAGAAGCTTTTTGTGGCAGAATGCGCATTCCCAACTGTAACCAATGGCCATGCCAAGGGGAATGATGGAGTTTTGTTTACTTAATAAGTGTTAAAAATGACTGACTATCTTTTCCACTGAGAGAATGTTTAGGTAATGGAAGGATTAGGATGATGCATTGAAGAAATTAAGATTTTTTAAAAATTATTAATAGAACAAACTCTCCAAAGGTCTCTTTCTCTTGTAGTGTTTTTTTCTTTTGCACCTTCCTACGGGAAGGCTGCTCTGGTGAAGGTGTTCCAGCTCAGGCATCTGCTCTCCTACAATGTGCAGGTTATTTTACTATTTTGCTTTATTGTATTGTATTGTATTGTATTCTTTTTCAACCCATTGCCTATCTATGCATTTCTGAAAAAAAATCCTTTTATCCAGCCTCCCCCAAAATCTACCCCAGCATCTCATTAACTCATTCTTTAAAAAAAAAAAAAAATCACATTTTTAAATAATGGCATTCGTTCTTTCTTGTCCTAAATCTGCCTGTGTAAGCAAATAAATGTATTTACACAGTAGAGTCTGTTTGTAATCAAATATTTTGTGGTGATGATGGGGTGTGGCGAAAAAATGGGGACCCACCTCATTGTAGCTTCAGTGGGGAATAAGTACTATAAAGAATAATACACTTTAATTTTCTTAAGTTGTGGAACTACACATTTATTTGGGGGGCGGAAGTGTAAATTTGATCTTCAGGAAGAAAATTTTCGGATAATCCATGTGTGTTCATGTATCATCTTTTGTAAGGAGGGCTCTCCAGGCAGGGAATATCTCACATATAAAAAAATTTGATTACCTGACTGATATTTTGCTCTTGGAATCCACATCATTATTCTGGAATAAAATTTCGTGATTTGGGGGGTTTTTGGGTTTTAGATGTTGTTGTGAATAAATTCTCAGTAAAATAACATCAGAGCGGTGGACCTAGATGTTACAGACAGAGAGGTTTGTGACTGGCACTTGTCTTTGTCACTGGTTTGCTCCATATTTTTGAATCATCTCTTGAGAGAATGTTGGAGAGAGAACTCTTCATCGTTGGTGTTCAAACCTCTTTGTGCAAGAGGAACTTTGTTGTTGATCACAGTCTCTGGTCTGGAGCTTTAAGCTTCAAAACTTAGCTCAGCTTTAGACAGCTCAGGCTTCCAGATTAGGCTATTTTTAAAAGATATTCTGTCTATGAGATCATATTATTTCATAAATTATTTCTCAAATTCTCTCAGAGTAACTTCCATCCCACTGCCCAGTTTTTAACCAAATGGTGATAAAGTATGATCTTCAAAAATACAGAATTCTGAGGCTTTTCCTGAGCATCAGGAATGGATAGAGGAGAGTTATTGAAATTCTTGGCTTGTCCCAAGGGACAGTTTTCCTTGTATTTGGCTTGTTGCATGAGCAGTTGCCATTGATGTAGCATAGAACCAGCCCCAGCATATATCTATTTCTTTTATCTGTTTCCCTTTATTTATGAAAGACTTGGGATAAAAAATTCTGTGCAGGAAAGTTTGGGGGAATAATCGAAGGAAAAGAAGAACTTAAGATTTTGCCATGAAAGATTACAGAAAATATCCTGAAAGATACAGGAAAACAGGGAAAGACACAAATTTGTGCCTACAAACCAACTTTACTATTTGACTGTTTACAGAACTCCCTTCTAAACACTTTGCCACTAAAAAAAAAATATAATTTTTTGGTGTTTTGAAGAATGTGACTACATTTCATTAATTCCAAGAACACACATGATTATGAAATTAATTGGCACAGGTGAAATAGATTTTTTTTCTTACAGTTTTTGTTTGGGATTTTGTTTTCTTTTACTGATTTTTTACTTGTTTTAAAGAGATTGTAAAAAAATTACCTCCTTCAGTTAATTTGCAAAGAGATGCAGTGATCATCTCCCCCCTGCCAAAGATTGAGATGGAAGTGGAGAGACAGACTCATCAAATTATTCACACCTGGAAAGTCTTTGCTGAATAATATCAAACTAAAACCATCAAAAAAACTTTGCTTGAACTCTGGTTACTCACCGCTTACTGACCATTTCTGCAGTCATTTGGCTTCTGTATAAAATACTGAAGAAGGGTAAAATAAATAAATAAATACTGTCTCTGAAATTTAGTTCTTTATAAGCTATTGACAGTTCCAAAGTTATTGCTTTGTAATCATGCTCCAGTTTTACCCCCTGAGGTGCTAAAGACTGAAGATGAGTTTCTGCTCTGCTGGTTTCATGATTCTTTTGTTCTCAAGTATTTCAGCAGACTCCTCAAGTTAAATAACCTTCAGCTCTCCTATCAGTATTTTTATTTTCGCCACGTAAATCTTTTTGGTACCATCTCTTGTAGCCAAGCCTTTTAAACAAAGCTGCTATAAACAGTGATTTGCAGGTTCTGTTTCTGAGGCAGCTTTCAGAAATGTGTTGTGTATATATTTGCTCCTGCTCTAAATGTTAAATATCGTTGCACAAAGCAATGGGAACAGATGGGATGCTGCATAAGCTGTTTATAATTTTACACATTTATCACTTTAAACTAGTGAAGTGTGCATGTGTTTGATTAATATTAACTTTTGGGTTACTTGGAGGGCCCTATTTTTTGACAGCATTAGGGATTTTATTGTAATATTCACTGGCTTCCAAGCTTAAAATTTAATTCCAGCAAAAATAGAGTAGATCCATTCCATAATTCTTAATTACATAATGTTTTAATTTTTTTTTTTTTTTTGCTGCAGAAAAGAATTACCTGGTTGAGGTTTTAACACTGGAAGGAAATGGATAACTCTGTTTGTCTCAGTATTTTAGACAGATTAAATTTAGATGCCATAAGTCCAGCTAAATAAATATCATATCTTGGAATTAAATACCAGATGCTAAGAAGGTGTAAAATAAAACCAAACAGCAAGAGTCCTATTTAAATCGATATTCTTTTATACCCTCCACCTCCACAGAATGATAGAACTTTTATATTTGCCTGCTCAACAGGTCTGGATGTTCAGCATGTGTTACACCTACGTCACTGTGTATGAAACCAAAAAAGCATCTCAAAAAGCATCTCAAGCTTATAGACAGCTCACACTTGACAGCTTCTGATTGCAGCATTCTATTAAAAATATGGTTTACCAATACATTATTTCATTAAAATACATTTTGTCTCAGCTAAAGTCTGAAAAAAGGCAAGATTTTCCTTCAATACATGGATGGAAAACCAATTTCAAGTTGGAGTGGGGCTGCTTGTGCTGTTTGATCTCTAAATGGCAATAATATTTAATGAGACATTTTGCTCTAAACTGTAAATTCTTTTGAGAGTGAGATGCCCAGCCTGTCAGAATAAACAGAGGAAGCTAAAAACACTGAAAATGACTGTTCATTTTGAAGGCATTGAGTGATCTCAGTGAAATATTACTGAGTCAGTTGATTTTTGGAGAGAGATCAACTTCCCAGCATGTATTTTGGCAGCATATCTGCTTCCATTCCTCAATATCTTTTGTGTTCAAATAGCTCACTTCAATCTTATATGCTGCCATCCTTCAAATTTCAGAGAACTTCCAATGACTCCTTATAGCTTGAATGAATAAATAAATTACTTTTATCCAGGCTTATTTACACTTCTATGCCTATGCTTTCTTCTGTGTCTATTAATTAATGTTATGGAAAGACTTATTCAGCAAAAAGGATGATGGAGCACTAGGAATTACTGAGAAAGTGTAGATATATCTACATTATAAAATATATATTTTGAAGTTGAATGTTGCAGTGCAGTTTGAAGTTGAATTGGCATGACTACAGGGCTTTATGTAGGTCACTCTTCTTTTTCCACTCTTCTTTTGCCCTGGTATGGTCCTGTTGCCTTTGCTTCCAGGACATGAGAAACTTGCAGAAGGAGAATGTTATTTGCTGTATATAAAATATGTAAAGGGGAGGATTTGGTTGAATTTCTTTAGTTGCATATTTCCTGAAAAGATGGCTCTGTTTTTCTGTCATCTCATCAGCTGTCCACTGTTTGTTAAATATGTATTTTCATTAAAAGACAGTAACTAGAAATTCTGTACCTTCCTGCCCTTTCCACCTTCTGTTTTTGAAACTGCTGGAACAAAAAGTTTTCTGCATTTTGATCTGAAAGACTCTTTTCTTTCTCTGCAGGTTAATAATGAGAATGTAGTGAAAGTTGGCCACAGGCAGGTGGTGAACATGATTCGGCAAGGGGGCAATCACCTCGTTCTTAAGGTTGTCACAGTAACCAGGAATCTTGATCCAGATGACACAGCTAGAAAGAAAGGTACATTCTTCTCTTTTCTTGATGGACTCTTTTGGTTTTGCTTCTCAGAAAAGAAAATATAGGCATGAAAAAACTGCTTTATAAATTCTGATTTATAGACTCTGCTTTTAAATGCCTTATTCTTGTTTAACTTAGAGTAATTTAATTCTCTTGGCTTATGCATTAATAGGTGACAAAAAGGGTGATATTTTCTCATCCTGCTTGCCATGAAAGTTAATCTTTATGGGGTTTTATACATCTTTATGTTTGAGGATCTTGTAGTAACATTTCTTGCAGTAGTGAGAGAACAAAAGCACAAAGAACAGATGATCTTTTATTAGTTAATAGCAAATGTACTTGGGATGAGAGTATCTCTTGAAATCGTTGAGAACTTTTGCATCTTTTGCAGAAAGAATAACAAAAGTAAGCAGTATGTTTAGACTGAAGTTCTGGTAGAAAAAAAAAGTACATTTTAATGAGAAAATTCCTCTACATGAAATTAAAATAGAGGAGTTGTTCCAGCCAGGGAATATCCCTTCACCTCTCATCAACAGACAACACACTAAGATGCTTTTTCTGCCATTTGGCTGATAATGAGAAGACAGATTCTCCAAGAGAGGTTTGTATGACATTGTGTGCCACAAAGACTTTGGGAAAGAATTGGCTGGGTACAAACAGGATAGGGTTTTTTCCAAGCCCAGGGTTTGTTTGGTTTGTTTTTAATTAAATTTAATGGACATTATGGGTTAACCTATATCCTAAGATTGGGCTACTCTCTTAAGAATTTCAGTGTTTCTCACATGAAAAAACCACCACTAAAACTTCACTAAAAAAAAAAAAAAAGAAAAAAGGAAACAAAAATGGATTTTACCCTATTTCCTTCACCTCAGATGCCCCTCAGTTTGCTCAGGTGACAGCTATGCTGGGAATTCATTAGGCCCCCATAATTATCATTAAGCAGGAAAGATTGCTGCTGCTAACTAGTGTTTAGTACAGCAGTAACACATTTTTAAAAATTCCAGTTCCTCCCACCAGTTCCTTGAATTATCACTGTCAGACACCTGGGTCTTCAACACAAGAGGGGGTGAGGAGCTGGAAGCCCAGGGCTCCCTCCTAGTCCATGACTAAAACTTTCTGTCTACACTGGGAATGTTCTTCACATCTACTGCTTATCAAAAAAATAATAATAAAAAAAAAAAAACAAATAAAATTAAACCCACCTTGGGAGTGGGAGGGAAAGGCCATGTTTATGTCATGTCCAAACATGGTCCTGCATTATTTTTGGCTTGTTGGAATTACTATTCACACATTTTAAACAAACCTTTAATCTCTGCCTTTTGGGATTTTTCATATTAGCCTTAAATGTAGTGACAATGCTTTAAACCTAAAGAGAGTAGATTTAGACTAAATGTCAGGGAGAAATTCTTTATTGGGAGGATGGTGAGCCTCTGGCACAAGTTTCCCAGAGAAGCTGTGGCTGCCCCGTCCCTGGAAGTGTCAAGGCAATGTTGGATGGGGCTTAGAGCAACCTGGTCTAGTGGAAGGTGTCTCTGCCTATGGCAGGGGGTGGAAGAAGATAAGTTGTAAGGTTCCTTCCAACCCAAACCATTCAGTGAAATAAAAGTGCTGTTGTCTACAACCCAAAGGGAAGTTGCTTCTGTAAAAACAAACCCAGTTCTTTGTCATCTTGTAATTCCTAGTGATAATGCATCATTTACCAACCACTTCCCCCTTTGAATCTTGTCTCTTTTTGATGGCAGTTTGTAGCCTTGCTTGTTTCCTGGCAATTGCCTTTGTACCTTTGGAATTGTGTGGAAGGACTTTGTTGCCATCAGTCAGATGTCAGATACCCAACCTCATTTAATTCTTGCCCTCAAACTGCTTTGCCACCTCTTTTCAAAATGCTATAGGCATTTTGTATTGACCAAAACACTTGAGAATCCTTAATTTTTCCTGGTGTCTCAGGGCCAGGGATGTTGACTGGAAGTCTCCATTTTCTTTTTGGATGTTAGGCTCCTTTCTGACCACTAGAAACATTTGTTCTCAGGATACTAAAGCACATGCTGGATTTTAGTTCCTGTGCTAGATGACTGTCTTGATATTTTAAGATCTTTATTCTGAGGATCATCTGTTTCCCCTAGACTCACCATAACTATTCAGATCAATTTGAATCTTCCTATATTTCTCAGATTGAACAGTTTCTTCACAAATTAAATTAATCTGGCAGAGATTGGCTGCTAAAAACCTCCAGGAGGTTTTTAGCCTTAGAAGGGGCACAACTGCTGTGAGGCCCTTCATCTAGGAAACCTTTTTCCTACTGGAAAATAGAAGTGCACAGTTATTTAGCTTTAAGTGTTTCTATGTATCCTGTGTTACATAAAAGCTTGCGGATGTGTCAAACAACCTACGCTAAAACCAGAAACAGTAGAGAAATTCAGTAAAGGAAAAGCATCTCAGGGCTTTTTCCTCCGCATGTATGTATTTATTCTTACCTTATTTCATGTAGCTTATTCTTTTTAAATTGAGGTGAAATTGTGGATGTAAATGTAGGGTTTGAAGGTGTTTCCTTACACTGTGTGTTTTTCTGTTTAATGCAAAGCCCCACCACCTCCTAAGCGAGCTCCAACCACTGCACTGACCCTGCGGTCTAAGTCAATGACCTCAGAGCTTGAAGAGCTTGGTAAGAAAGTGTTTTTTGGCAAGCATGGCTTAGTAGAAATGTAAATATGGATAGATAGATAGATAGATAGATAGATAGATGTGTATGTGTTAAATTGATTAAAGGGAGCTGCACTGTGTACAGTGTGTAGAACAGAAAAGGTTTTAAGAATGCTGCATCTCTGGAGAGTTCAAATTGTGCATGACTCGCATGAATTATTTTTGTTTAAACTTGTGCCTTTACTGCTACGCAGGAGAATGTTGATACATTTTGTGCATCATCAGAGTCTGGCACATCTACACACAAAAAATAATGCCGTGTCGTATTTTGTTAGCTTTGCTTTCTGAGTTTGCAGTTCATCTAATATTGTTTTATTTTAAATTTCTGTGGCCTCTCATTAGTGGATAAAGGTAAGCTGCCAGAAGCTGTTGTTAAAAGCTGACAGTGTTAAAGCAGCTTCAACTTCAACTTGTTTCATTAAGCTGATCTGAAAAAAGTGCATATTATGATATCACTTTGACTACTGTGCATGATATAAACTTAATTCCTCTCTATTGATAATAAAAAATATTGAGCATTCAGTCTTTTATTTGCTAATTTTAAGAAATGTGACTGTAGATTCCTTTGCTTAATCATCCACATCCTACATATGCATAATTCTTTGGGAATTTTTATTAATTTTCTAGAAATGAGGAAGGTATTTTCTTCCTGGTTTTAGCCTGTTAGGTCATTAAAAAGTAGAATTTCTGCAGCTAGACTAAGAAATATGTTATGAATAAATCATATACACACAGAGAAAAACCCAGTGCATATTTCTATATGACTATAACAGTAAAACAGTGTGTTTAGCAAGTGATAATTGGGTATAAAAACAAACCACATCCCTCATTGCAGACTAATAGATGATAATAAATCATACAATAAAACCATTTTTCCATTTATTCTGCATTGATTTAAATATTTACATTTTATAATCTTTCTTTTTCTGGTATGGATTCATATGAAGGCCAACTGGAAGGAATCAAAGCCTTGTGGCCACTTTTTTTCCCCTGAAAGTCAGTGTTTTCTGGGGCAGATGGACCCCATCCATCTTTAAGGGAGTCAAGTCACACAGGTCCAGTGGGAGGTCTTGCCAACAGAGGGGGGCTGAAGTGAGCACTGTCTTCTCTATGGTATAACAACCAAGTGAAGAACAAAATTGAACAGTCTGATTATTTAGCTCTAACATATCTCAGAAAATTGGATTTTTCTGGGTCAGGAAGTTTAGGAGCTTAGCTAAAGGTATCAACACTTTGTGAGTGCTCTGTCATTTTTCTTCTGTGTTTAAAATGTAAAATATTCTTTCTGGAGCCACTTTTTGGGTCTGGGTGCTTTTTTTTGCTATAAGGTTGTAAAACTTTGCTTTTTTGGCCCTTCATTATCCTCTTCTGCAAATTGCTTTCAAATTGAGGATACTCTTCTATTTCTCTTTTCAATCTTCCATAGGGGATACTGTTCTCAAAGTAGAGAGAGGCAGCACTCTTTCCTGGGGTAGAACAGCCTGTTAATAGTAACATCCTCCTGCAGTGAGGACCATCTAATTTAGCTTCCTCACCCCCAGTTCATGTTGTAGCACTTGACCTGCTGTTTGTTCTCCCCAACTGGCACAAAACACCACAACTCATTTAACAAGCAGCCATGGGACACACCTCAATATTTAAGCACATTTCCCATTCATATCTTTATCCAGACAGGGCAAATATTACAGTGGCAAGAGTTTGCTATTCTGAAGAATAGCCCTGCACCATGTTCCAGGAGTTTATGTCCCCTAGTAAAGCTATAGGAATGGCATAAATTTGTTTTCTTCCTAAATAAGGCTGTAAATGGCACTTGCGTGACACTCTGAACCCTTGCCAACGTAGCAAACAATATAACTACTGTTATAAATAAAATCTGTGGTCAACCTATTTTCATATTTGCCCTATAAAAGGGCTCTTATCAGAAGGAACAAGAATTGCTAAATTGCACAACTGAACAAGCTTCCCAAATGAAAATGTTCTCCCTATCATCAGTTTAAAGTTGTCTTCTGACATGAACCACAGATTGTATGTGTGTATTTATCTCTAATTTATATATCTCTATATGTAAAATGTATATATTGGACATCTGTGAGAACTATGAGAACACCCACATTTTTATATCCGTTAAACTAATGAATAAGCATTTATTTCATAACATGTATATGCAAACTAAATAGGAAAGATCTATAAATGAACCTGTGGATGTTCTCATCAATATATATGTGTAATTCTTTTTTCTGAACTGGAGAAGCTCATGGTCTCAATAATGTCTCATGACAAAGAATCCCACGGGCTAATTATGTGCTGTGTGAAAATGTATTTCCTTTTTATTGGTTTTAAATGTGATGCTTTTAATTTTATTGAATGTCCCTTGTTATGTAATAGAAAGAAAAGTACAAATTCCCCACTTGTTTTCCCTTAGAGTACATAGTTTTGTAATGTCTCCTAGCTGAGCTAAACAACATTTTTTTTTTAAATTATACATCTTGCAGTCATTACAGTTACTTCTTTTGCCTGGCTCTGAACTCTACTTACAGTTTTATTGACGTGTTTTTAGCTATCCTGTTCTTCATAACACTGAGCAGACCATCTCAGTTGTTCTCTTTCAAACTAATTGATCCCAAAGATAGCAAATAACTTGTGCTCATGATTCCTTTCCACTTCAACCTGCAAAGATTTGAAAATGCCCTATTGTCATAGTTTGAAAGCCCTGGTGTCAGTAAGTTGCCCCAATTACTGTTTTGAAAAAAGAATTCAGAAAAAAAAATTAATTGTACATGTGTCCCTAATACCTGCAGAGGAGAAATTTCTTAATACAAACCCTGATAAACATCTTGGCAAAAGCAGATTTTGTCTACTGTGTTTTGATAGATACATGTTTAGTGGAGGGGAGCAGGGAGAGACTGACATCTTAGATAGAAGAATAATGTTTATGCTTAAAATGACAGACAAGGATTTAGCATATAAAAAATTACCTTCAGAATTGATTCACAGTTCATTCCCTTTCTATTTCCAAGCTTCAGTACGGAAGAAGAAGGGTAAGGGGAAGCATTTTGTCTCTTGTTTAACCTGTTTCTCACCTTTCCATAGTGAAGGATAATAACATAATGTAAATGTTGGCATATGGTCCAGTTTATTTTATGGTGTCAAATGTACATTAATTATTATATATGTTTTTTAGTTATTTAGTTAATAAATTGCAAACACGCTAAGAACTCAAACAGAAGACCACATTTGAAAATACTCTCCACATTTCTTCCTTTTGTCTCCTTTCCTTCATCTTGCCTTTTTTCCTTCTCTGTATCCAACTCTTTTCCAAACCCTTCCATCTCATCTCCTCACAGTTACTGTGCTAACTGGCAGCCACGGAGAGGTAGTGGCCAGTAACATCCTCAGTGTAGTCCTACGTTAGTGGTTCTGCTTGTCTTTTTTAGTGGCCACACATTACTCCCATAAAACCACGCTGTCTCTGTCTCAGGAAGTAGGGATCTTGCACACAACACCTGAGCTTTTGACCTGGAGAAAATGCTGCTCTGCACAATTTTTAATTCCCAACATAACATCTCCCACGCTGTCCCGTATGCATGGAGTGCCCTCCCTGGACTGATCCATAAAATCTTCTCCTTGACATCTCTCCTGAAGACCCACTTTCCCTAGATCCCTGTTAAGCAACCATCCAAGCACTGATGGCTAGGCAGAGGGGCAGGTAGAAGTAGTGGTGCTATTTGAAGAGCTTTTATCAATGTACATACGTGTATGCAGAATTTGTTTGTGTTGAGCTGTATTTTTCCATGCTCCTATACGTCATTTTGCTTTCCTAGATTGTGAGCTCTCCTGAGCAGGGACCGTGTCATCTCCACCTTCTCATGCCGTCTGGCCTGAGGAAGAGCCTCAAACCTGTCTGAGACCCTGGGTGGTAGCTGGAAAAACAGGCTGTGTCCTGCTCTTGGACAAAGCTCAGCGTCATGGAAAGGAAAGTTAGGCTGTAGGCAGTGTCTTCTCTCAACAGGGAAGCTTTTCCTTTTTAACATTAAATAGGACAAAATTGGTTTATTTTCCACTCTTTATTTTTCTGCTCTTTCCTGACCTCCTTTCAGGTCATTAAAACAGGTTCCACCTACTGATATTTGCCATTCTCCATTCAGAGAATAAACCACATGGCTACTGAAAAATACATTTTGGCAGCATATAAAAAAACTCTTTGCATTGTTATTGTAGAGTCTTCTGTCAACTCAAAATTCAGTTTTCTGGGTCAGAGGCAAGAGAGACATTAAGATAAAAATAATGGCTTCTGTGGTTCTGTTTGACTGGTTTTGTTGGTTGTCTCTGGAGATGGGTTCTGGTTCACTGGGAGGACAGGAGAGGAGAAGGACATAGGCTGTACTTTTTATATTCAGGATACAATAGTTGTGTCTAAAAAGATAAGTAATAAAATCTTTAGGTTTGGAGCAGCATGGCATGGGCAGTACTGTCATTTTAATGCAGTTACATAGCATGAATCACTAAAATTTAGCTGTGCTTCATTTGTGCCACTGACTTGTAGTAGTTGCCTGACTCAGGGATAGCTTCCAACTTTAAAATGTGTATGTGAAGGGGACATGTTTTCAACAGTCAAACTACCTTCTGGGTTTTGTGGGATATTTGGGATGGGGAGGAGGCATTCTTCTTTCATTTGTGGTTTGTAGTTTTCCAAGAATTCTAAAGACTGTAAATTCCAAGAATGAGTAAGTCGTGGCAACATGTAAACTAACAGTTGTAGCAGCAATTTGTTGGAGGCAGCACTTAAAATGTAATTCCATTAATACTGAAGAATAACCAGAATATTCATGCAGCAAATTTAAATGAAGGTTTAAAAATACTCTGAAAATTAAACATTAAAAGGAAAACTTGGGGTCGTAATTTTCGTCATCACTGGAGAAAATAGATATGATTTTAGTTTCAAAATGGGTATCATTTGAGTTTCAAAATTAATGTTTTAAAATAAATTTAACTCTGTTCATAGAAAGTTTATGCAGCTGGTGAAAAGCTTGCCTTTAAAGGGCTTTTTTCTTCAGTTCTTGCTTTGACTTGTTTAATCAATAACTTCTTGTGGATGGAGAATTTTAAAATTATATGATCATTAAGGAACACATCCATAAACTAAGTCCTGCAAATGTTTAGATACATTGTTTAAACATTTCCTGCTCCCAAGCTTTTTCTTTTTTTCCTGACAGAAAATGGGTTTGATTTAGTGAATAATCTGGGATTTTCAGTGAAAACTGAAATGTTTAATTTTAAAATGCCTAATATAAAGTTCTCTAAGAGAAAGTATAAAATTAAGACTAGAGCAGGCTAAATTTTTGTAGCAAAATGGGAATGACAGGATAAATAATTCTTCACCATTAAGAGATATTCCACTGGCAGTGTCACATGAACCTCAGTTGTGGCTAGGGGTGGTGGTTGGTTTGTTCTTAGATTTGTTATGGTAATCAATATAAAATATTAATATATACCATACACTGATGAAATATGTGTGTTGATACTGGTCTTTGGGGTCTGATATGGGCTACAGTATCAAATATAAATATAGGATTTTCCTCCTCTGAAGAGTTTAGAGTCTATCACCACCTTACAGATACAGAATAACTGTGATATCATCAACACAGAATATTGTTAGCTGGCATCAAGTCTTTACTGGAATTTGAATAGAAAAATATCAGTTGATGGCATTCAAAAGAAATATTATTAGCTCTGTCTGCAGTAAGTGTCCACACTTCATCCCATTCCTGTTGTCCATTGTTTCAAAGGAGGCACATTCCAATGGCATCTGAAACAATGAAATTGCAGAGCAAATATATATAAATGAATGCCAAACAGTGGATTAGCTTACAGTGTTCTGTTATGTTTGAAGAAACCACTCCCAAAGTCGTCTGGTTCAAAAATCATTTCTTTATTTCACTGTGGTGGAGTTGATGATGGAGATTTGTCTGCAGGAAAACAATGGGAATACCACCAAAGGAACTTTTACAGCACTCACAGCCTCAACTCCTGTGGTAGTTTCCAGCATCTGCAGTGCTTCTCTGTAGGAAGAAGGTTTTCTGACCTCCACCAGACACTGTGTTTTAGAAGATGAGAGCAAAAGGCATCAGGCTTAATGAAGAATTCTTGAAGGTTGCCCGTGTAAGTAATTGATTTGCATTATGTATTTGAAATTGTAATAAGACAGCGATGTAGTGATGAGGAAAAGATTGTCATCGGGTTGTCATTTATCACAAGTAGAAAGCAGTGACTCTGGGTGGAATTTGTGAAGTACATGTATACCAGCCCTTTTTTTTTGCTGATGTAGTGAGATTTTACAACTTGGAGTGTAACTTATGGGGAGTCCACAGGAAGAAGGTGTAGGATTAGGGCTGTGGCTACAACATAAGTACTGGTAAAACACTTCGTAAGAGAAAAGTATTGAAAATTGGCAAGTTTCAAAAAGGGAACAGTGCTAACCCTATGTTTTCCACCAGCAAAAGTTTGGCACTTGACTGGCAATGTGCTGATTAACAACTTGTGCCACAGAATCTAAAATTAACAGGTAACTCTTGGAACTAAAAACCTCTTCAAACCAGGGTTTATGTTGCAGGAGGTGGGCAGCTTTAACTAATATTTTGGAAGCTCTGGGAATCTTGAGAGGGTTGGTTGAATCCCTGCGTGGGTGTTCTCATGTACACTAGTATTATTTTGAATTTATCAGCTTATTCTGGAGTGTGTAGCGCTCTTTCATGATACTTGTTTTTCTTTACTACAGGACAGTAATTGAAAAGGTTTTCAAAATCTTTCTGCATCAGCCAAACAAGACAATGGTATAAAAGAAGCTGGAAAAGGAATTGTAAGTGTTACAGAAAATGTGGGGTTTGTAGCATTTGGAAAGAGACGAATTAAATATGTTGACTTATGTGACTGTTGCTATGCTCAGATATTATCAATTTAATATCTGAGCACATATTCAAAATCATGAAGGCTCGAGGAGAAGTTAAAATTGCATGCGTTTCCCAACATGGCACAGTTAGGGTAGTGAAAAACTCCTTCAACACTTTTAATGTGTTCTCTCTTTTTTTCAGGAGCCAGGGAGATGAAGGACTTATCTCCCTCATCTCAAAACTCCCTTTGCTGCTATTACATTTTTTTTTGCCTTCAAATGTTCATATACCCATGTTAATTAATTTCTAATATAATTAAAAATAAATGGTTTTAGATAATTCCTCATAGTTCGTTTGGTTTTTCCCCTCGGTGTGGAAGTGTGAGAGTAAGTATAAGACCAGAGAAGGCTGCAAGTGTCTTAAGTCCTCCACTTTCTTTTTGGTTTCTTTCAGTTGGTTGTCTTTCTTTTGTGACTAGGCCAAATTTTCAAATGCTGTCTCTTAAACAGAACATCAAATTGCCGCTTAAATTCCACCTGGCTTGCAGGATAGGAGTGGGTATTGACTATATTCTCTGCTTTGTTTTTGTTCTTGAACAGAAACCACTGTTAGACAATGACCATTCCTCTTTCAAGGTAGGCTGAATTGTAAGGCTTCAGGATTGCAGGTGTATTTTAAATGCCTGTATAATTATTTCATTAATTGATTATACTGTTAAAGAGCTGGTACTTGAAAATTGTATCTCTGAAAGAATTTGAACATATCAGTTTTCTGCCTTCCTTAAAGTTACTTTTCATGGTGTGATTATAATGTGTAAATGTGACTTGTGTGTACTAATGTGAAGCAATTTTCAGCCCTAGAAACACAAATAAGACTTTCTTTCAAGAAAGTTTTGATAGTTCTTTACTTTGATACATACAAATCATTTCCACAAATCACGTAATGGTATTTACTCAATGTTAAATGATTAATTTTAGTCACTAAACAATTTTTATGTTTTACTGATTTATTTTCTATATTTTCCCTTTTTTATTTTATTTTACTGTTTTGTAGAGTTTACAGTATCCCAGAGAACAGACAAGTATTTTTACTTAATTTTCATAGAAGGAAAGTTTTTCAAGTGCCTTATATGTTTGACTGTATTGCAAAGCACTTCTGTTATTTCCTCATCAAGCTGACTGCTAAAGTAATATTCTCTGCCTGTTGTTCACAGTGTGGTAAATGTGTGATTTTTGGCATTATGATTTAAGCACAATCCTGCAAATTGTTCCTCTGAGGTGGGGCTGGAAGAAGTTCATTCCAGGTTAAAATGTGGTGGTAAATTTATGAGGAGTATTAGGAGTAACCTAGTTGTCTACATGAAAACTCAGACCATTCCATTTCTGTGTACTTTTAACTATACATTTATATGACATAACTGTAGGCTGAACTTGTTTCTTTTCTCTGAATATGATCATAAACAACAAATTTGGATTTCAACCTTAACCTTTAATATTCTTACTCTGAATCAACGCTTTAGCTAAGCTTAGTCTTTAAATGCTTAATGGTGTGTTGAAAGCCTCATTATACTTAACCTACTTCTGGTTCTTTGATGAATTTTTATACATCTAATCCTATTTTAATAGATCAAAAGAAAGCCATTCATTTTCAATGGGCACAGCTGATGTATCAGAGATCCAATTTTAACCATCTCCAAATAGGAGTCACCTGTTTTTCCTCAGGAACACTGAAGTTTTACTCATCAGGTGCAGTTGCTTCTATGACAAGCAACATCATCAAAAGATCTTCTATAGTCTGACCAAGCTTTCTTTGGAAATCATTAGGTTCTCATCTTTTGCTGCCACCCCATTAATATTGGAAAGCTGGTCTATCTGCTTCTTTGAAAGCCTAGTCCACATTCCCAGACCTTTCACCCAAATTGTCCTTTACATAGTTCTCCCACCCACAGACATTCACCCCCAAGTATTTAGAAAGTTACTTCCCAGCTACTGTTTTACAAAGTAAGCAGGGCAAGCTCTTTTGCATATATATGGGAAGTGACAAAAACCTAGAAGGAATGCAGTGTAAATAATTGCACCTGTTTGTTTTAGATGCTGCTTTTTTTTTTTTCAGACTTGGAAACTTAATTACATGTGTAATCACTGCTGGTTTTCATACCAAAATCAAACTGCTTGTAGTTAAAAATAGAAGAAATTGGGGAAAAAAGTTAATCCATAAGATAAAAGCAACACCACAGCCATATTTTTATGCAGTTTAAATGAATCTCTATCCATTTTTAATAGGCACATGCGAAGACTACCCTTTTAGTAACCCATTTTTGCAGATTGTGGACAAATTTTATCAGCTGATGAAAGATACTAAACTAAATCTGCAAACTCGTATTTAGGGAAGGCGATGGAACAAAACGTGCATGTGCAGTACCTGACATTAAGGGCCATATGCCCAAAGCTGTTGACACCAAGGAAGAATGAATGTCCTGTGTTCCCATCACTTTTCAAAAGGAAAAAAATGCATGTGCCAAATATTTGCCTGTGGTTGACTGCAGATGCTAGACCAGGTGGGTGATACTACAGCACGGAGGTGCAATTGGCATTGTATGAAGTTTTGAATAAAGCACCTGGTACAGTTTCTGTCTGTATCTATCTTAGGTATTTACAAGGCACCTATCACCTTGGTACCTAAGCACTTTGAAAAATGCACCCACCCCAGGAGGCATGATGCAGATACAGACAGAGGCCCAGGTCCAGAGCAGCAGAGGCAGGTCCCAGGAAGCTCTCCAACTGTGTTCCCGCTGTTGTTGAGCTCCTGGCCCACTTGGTGTGGCCAAGGAACATCTCCACCCACCTGTCAGCAGGAAGACGGTGCCCCACCCCTCACCTGCAGCTCCGCTGGTGGGCAATCTGAAAAGGAAAGATAATGGAAAAGGCAACGATCCAGTAGCAGAGGTGAAACAGGAATGGTGGGATTTCAAAAGGAGGGCTTCTTAAAGAGCAGCACATCTCAGGGGAGGGATCAGCTGCCAGTTCAAGTGGCAGGTAAGGCATAACACAGGCATAAGTCCCAAATGTTCTTCAGTGAACAAAAGTTAAAGAAATATTTCTGATGTCTCTAAAGTTTGTGTATATCCAAAGCCCTGCTCTGTTCTTGGCCTCTGACTCAGTCCTCTACCCCTGCAGATGAATCAAGTGTTCAGTTCTGTGTACCTCCACCCAACAATTGCTGCAATCCTAAATATGTCTAATAACCAACATAAAGGACTCTCACTGGTAATGAATGTTGTGGTACAAAGAAGACAGCATGGTATAGCAGTGCTCCAAAATAATGGACATATTCATGAACCTAAAGGCTGGAATAAACTTGGCTTCTAGTCACCATATTCAGGGCAGGATCGGGCAGACACAGCTCACCCCTGCAGGCACACATGGAGCTTCTCCTGTGGCCTCCAGGAGCAGTTGCTGATCCACCACATCAGACTGTGGTGGATACACAAGCTGTGTATCAGACCAGGGCAAACACCTGGATAGGGAGCAGCTCCAGGCTCTGCTGCAGAAACAGAGAACCTGTCTGCCAGGGCAGAAAGGAAGATAACCAGGACTGTGATGGAGGTTCACTAGTTGCTATTACAGGGACCACTTTAATACCAGATCTCCTTTTTCTTTAAACACAACAGAATCAGTGAGGTAAAACAAAACAAAACAAAAAAGTCTTCAGAAACCTGTGAGTCCCATGGGACTTTAGGAAATAGCTGCATAGTAGTCACAGTGATCAACTACTAAAGTTAAAGTTCAGTGGGGTCACTGACTTCCAGAATTTCCATTCCCTTTAGCCCATATGCATGACCCCTTCTGAGTCCATTACTTGGTCATTTAAGGATCAAAATGGGAGTCATGCCCTGGCAGAGCAACGGACATAAAGTTAGGAATGTGAACCTTGGAGACTGCCAGTTTGGTGGCTGCTATCACTAGATATAAACGTAAGTGACCTATTTTGCCTGGATATATCCCTGTGAGCAAAATGCTGCACGTAGGAATGGTGTGGAAATGACTATAAAGGTCACAGAATCTGACTTCTTCCTTTTGCTTCACACCCAAGGAAGCTGAGCTTCTTTGTACCCACTCTATTTTAAGCTTTGAAAAGATAAATATTTTTTAGAGCAAATTAACAAGCAAGTAAGATCAACAGTGGTGGTGTACAGTTTGATCCATGTTCTCATGGACAATTTTGACTTGACAATTGTAGTGCCCTGTCTCTCTTTTTTTTGGAAGTCATCCCTTTTCCAAGGAAAGGAGGTAAAGGCAGTTAGTTGAGGTCACTCTATCAGTCAGCTTCAATCCTTCTGTCAGCAGCTGTTCAAACATAGGACAATTTCTGGCTGAACCAAGTTTTCCAATGCCCCTGGCACACCTTTTCCACAGCATCAGCCTAGGCACTGGTGCAACCATCTGACCAAGATGCACCCTGAACTTCAGGCAATTTTTGGTCATCAAGGAATGGATTTCTTGGGCAGAGACAGACACACACATGAAGGTGGTGTCAGCCATTGACCTTCAGGCAGTTTTCTCAAGTTTAACTAGAGGCCATACCTGCAGTGCACCCTCAGTTCCTTGTGCCCCATGTCAATGCTTCACAAAGCTTCCAGAACCCACAGTTACTAAGAAATGTTGAACACCTTGTTACAAGCAATAACAGTTATGATTATTCCTCCTTTTCATTGCTAGCCAAGTTTACCAACCTAACCTAAAACCTGTGAATGTATTCATTATTCAGAAGTATTCGCCAAGAGTTTCCACAATTGACTTTATGCCCAGGGGTTTTCACAGACTCTTTGCTTGTGCCCTTTGTCATTTGTGTTATTGGTCACCCATGCCAGATGCTGTTCTTTCAGCTTGGAAAGGCTGAAAATACTGAACAGGAGGGTAACAACTGATAAATTTTCATAGAGAATAAAGAATTTTGCAAAAATTTATTTTATTATGCTTTTTCAGGGATTTTTTTCTTCACAAGCCTCTGGCAAGTGTGTGAACATGCACAAATAACAAAAGTTTTGTGATCCCTCTGAATCTGAACAAACTAAAGTCAGTGATACCATTTACAGAAATATTCATAAATCAGTGTGGGCTTTGGAGTTTTTTGATTTTGTTTTGCTTCAGTTTTTGACTTTTAGTTTAGTTTGGTTCTGTTGCTTGCCAGTTGTTAGGTGGGCTCTGCTTAGAACACTTGTCAGGTAAATAGAGTTTTCAAATATGGGGAATTCTCTGATGACATGTCAAAAGAAATACCAAGACATTTTGTATGACCAGTGGCTCTACCAGAATGAGTATATATGATCCCTTATCTCCCACTGATTCCATAGACTTTAACTGAAATGTGTGTTTGCTATGTGTGGTAATAATAGGTCCCCTGCTTTTTTTGTGCTTTTTTTCATGTGTATTCAAATAGGAAAATGCAGAGATATAATGCATGGTCCTACACTATAGTTGTAAAGAGAGATTTGTTAATGAAGGAATGCCTATGGCTGTATTAGACAAAGTGAGAGAGGAATTGCAAAGGAAGAAGCAGTTATTAGTTAGGTTGATATATAGTCACTTTCAAATCTCCATGGAGTGGAAGAGCCAATGATTTCATGACAGTTTGTCCCTAAAATTCATTTTCATAAGGAACTCATACCTTTTTACAAATACAGTCTCATCCTCACTTTCCATAAAACATGCAACTGGACAGTCCAGCCAGAGGGAATATGAATACTTTGAATGTGAATACTTTGAAGTAGTGAATATGCTAAATGCACAAATAATATCCATTATTTCAGCACTTAAAACTCATCTTTCTGTTAAGTCACACAGAATCTCTTTTAGACCAGTATGATATTGGAGGCACTTGGGTGCAGAAATAATGAGTACCACATTATGGTAGACAGGGAGGAGGGATCCTTGGGTCTGTGAGAAGGAGCTTTCATTTTAAACCATATAAAATAATTTAAAAAAAATCGATCAAAACCCCTACCGACTCATAAACAGAACCAAAATTATCATTTAATATGACCTCAGCAACACCTTGCAGATGTAAGCTTACAGCTTCTGTCGAGGTCTGAAGAGCAGCATACAGAGTATTTCAAAAAGTAGAAATTAATCCTCGAAAAATAACTTTTTTTGAGACTGGGATGCCAGAGAATAGGCACGACACTGAGCTGGCATCCAGACCACTGTAGTGTAAGCAGCACAGCCAGCAACGGTGAGCCACTGCTGCTCAGGACACAATCCTACTGACAACTGCACTTCTGTCACCTATCCCTTGCCTGAGCCTTGGGAATGCAGGGGTTTGGGCTACCCTACCACAACATTTTAGCCAGACTGCCCCAGATTAATTTCTGATGGTCAAATTGTCCCCCATCAAAAAAAAAAAAAAAAAAAAGCAGACCCATTTTTTTAATCTGAAGCACGGAAAGGGTGAGAGCTGTGGCCACAGTCTCATGTAATCGAGAATAGAGCTGGGCAGATGGTGCTCTACTGTGAGCCAATGATGGCTGCAGGTGCAAACAGCTGAGCCATTCCTCACCTTTGGGGAGGGCATTTTATACAGGGGAGGATTTAGAGTAAGCACATAGATAGCATCCTCCACCTTAAGGTCTGTAGCAATGCCTCTTTGCACACTGAGCTGCCACAGGGAAGCACTTGCACCCGGGTTTCCACCATGTGCCCTCAGGCAAGGGAAGAGGTAGCCAGGGGAGGGCAAAACGCAGTTCATTTCCAGGAGATGATGAGATCCCGGTGAGCAATGCCCTCAGATAGCGTTTCCGACTGTTTGGAGGAAAAGAGCAAGGAGAATCCTGCAGATGTTGGGGAGGGCATTGCTCGCGGGATAAACCCCGTGGACGGGCACCGTCGCGCTGCAGCAGTGACTTGGGAGAGAGCCCACTGGGGGTGGGGGTGACGTGAGACGGCGGACAAAAGTGAAGATAGCCAGCAGTGCCTCAGAGCAACAAAGGGCTGCCCTCAGCCAGTGGTGGAGCACATCTGGCACCCCAGGAAGCTCAATTGGACCCTTGGCCCTGAGCTCGTCCCAGGGATTTCTGACTGGCACCACTGCAGTGCATAGGTGAGCTTTTCGCTAGGTTCACTGACATTTCCTGTCACAGTCATGCTGAGGGGAATTGGTAGTTCCTGCCTTGGGATGCAGCACGGCTGTGTGTGTTCTGGGTACAGGACAGTGTGCATTGGTACTAAAAGTGGTTAATAACTTCAACTGCCACATGCCCAGGGCAGTCACTAAAATTTAGTCCACCCTTCTGCTTGCCCAAACACATACACTCTTGGCTTCCCAACTGGCTTCTTTCTATGTGTTGTCCAATGCATGTAGATACCTCCATCTGCCTGGCCTCAGATACAGTGGTTGTTGCTCCTCTATTTGATTGCCAGATGTCACTGGGGAGCAAGATGGGGAGGTTCCTGGATCCTCGGGGCAAGCCAGCCATCACAGAGGGAGCTTGCTGTCCACGCCGGCCGAAGAACAGGAATCCTCGGTGCCTGCCTCTGATGAAGACTCACCAGCCAGGACCACAGAGAGCTGGCAGTGGCCACTGTCCTCGTCTGAAACGCACAGCAACGTTGGGGAGGATTTTGAGGGATTTCAGACGCCAGCGCGGACTCCGGAGTGTACCATGGACATACAGTCTCCCGGGGATCAGTCACTCAGTAGAACTCCTCAGTTTGAAAGTGACTCTCCTGAGGAGGAGGGAAATGATGAAATGAATGAAGAGCGCTGCGGTGTTGAGCCTGTCCCTAGGGATCGGGGTTGGAGAGGGCAGCCCCAGCTAACAGAGGGAGAGAAGCTGTTGATGGAAACCAACAGTAGGATTGTGCAGCTGCTGGAAAATATCAAGAGGGAGCATGCACAGTCCATGGGCCTCATGTCCCAGTCCATGGGCCGCATGGAGCTGCAGCTGGGCATTGTGGCTACCTCCACAAGAGCCATCCATAACTACCTGTCAGAGATTTTAGCTTTCCTCAAGCAGCCGAGGACGCAGGTCCTTGAAACGCGCATTTCCCAAAGAGCCACCCCCCATGTCGAGTTGACCTGTGCCTCGACATGGACCGGGGAGGACGCAGTGGCATCCTCCACTGTGTGCTTACCTGGGGCCGAGGGGACAGGCGACTCTCGAGACCCGCCGCAGGCCACCCTGCCTTGTCGCAGTGGCCGGCTGCAGAGAGCCATAACCGAGAGGGCCTCGCTGCCCATGCCTCCACGCCAGGCAAAAGGGGGAGGGAAGAAAAAATAACCATTCCATAAGGTTTTTAGAGGTTTTTTTTTAATGTGCCTGTCCTTTTAATTCTTAGCCATAAGGCCACTGGTGGCAGAGTTTCAACCATTTCCTACATTGGCTAACATTGTATTCTGGCTGACTAGATTAGTCTAACATTTTGTAGTTTATATTTGCACTGTTAACTATGTGTGCTGCTGGTATTTGAAGAACATTTGCCTCTGTTCTTTCACTTTAACTTCATACAAGCATTTTTTTACTCTGTGCCAGGCATTCATTGCTTTTCTTACAAATACAAGTCATTTCTTGAGGCAGCTGTTTTTTGAGTTTTCTTTCTCCATTATCCCATCCCCTCTGAGCAAGCACTCGGGACTTGGTGGTAAGTATAGAGGTCTTCGCAATACTCGCCTCCAAAACTGTGTTCGATCAGTCTTTGCCTGGTGTTTCTGGCATGCCAGCCTGAGGTGTTGGGGTCAGCCTGTACCGGATCATGATCATTCTTATCCTCTGTGGGTCTGACCAGCTCAGTTTCTAAGACCCTCGGTGGAGCTAATCCACATGTCTTGGCTATGTCGTACAATAAGTAATGTTGCCAGGATCATACCTCATATTTCTCCTTTGGGGGCTGTATAGTGATGTGCCACCAGATCTATCTAGGCACCTGGCTCTCGTTTTCAAAGTTCCTTTCATGATGGATCTGGTGGTTTGATGGGCAGCATTATAATTTTTCCTCTGAGAGAGTCTGGGGATTGGAAACAGGAGTCACTAAGCAATGTGTTCTATGGGGATAAGAGCCATCTCCTGCAACAAATCTATTAGGAGGAGACTGTCCCCTGTAATTAGCAGAGATATTAATTATTTAAGAAAAAGAGAAAAAAAAAGAAAAAAAGCAACTTGCCTGGCAGCCAGACCTCTTGAGAATGTAAAAGTCATGACATGCTATTGGGTACTGTGCTCCTCTGTCTGTGATTAAGAGCTTCTCATCAGAGACGACCTACATCTTTATAAAACACAACTACTTCCTGTGCCTTTAGGCCATCTAATTTTCTGAGGGCTGGCACCCTGAACAGAGCACGGGGCCCATTGGTAACCCACAGGGTAGATGGAAATGCACTTTGCAATAAATTATTTTATATCTGTTGGTGCTGCCTCTCTCGGGGGAATTTAAATTAGTGGCACTCAAACTGCTATATGCATGCAGAGGCATCAGACTTGGCTTTTCCATGTGGTATCCCTGACAGTTCTCTGAAAGGATGCTGTTGCCAGGAGCCCCCTGAGCGGTGGTGACCTGTTCTCACAGGTGTAGCATGGCTCCTATGTTTGACTCTCAACACACCGTTGTAACTTCTCGGGAATGTTCAGAAGAGTTTATATGGCAAAGCAGTGATGAATGGAAAATACTAGAGAACAACCATAGGCTTAAAAATCCTCTTCTATGATTACAACTGAGCTGTGCTCTCTGTCCAGTGAGACATAGACTCTTCCTCCCTGTCTTTCTGTGAGGTTATTCAAGATAAAGCAGATCATATTTTGTTATTCTGCCAGTCAGCCACAAATTGCTCCCGTATAAGTGTGTGTGCGCGCGTGTGTGCTTGTGGCTGTACTTTGCTAAATGACCGATTTAAGGATGAAATTGCATCTGGCATGGCCAACCTCCAGTGTAGGCTTTTTCCACTACCAAATATTTCTTCCCTTTCACCTCCATCCAGATGAGTTCCTTGTAAAAATGCCATTGGAGGTGGTCTTCTTTGGCCACACTTCACACCAGGTGCCAATTTTTGCATCTATTTTGTAGCTTTTTTTTTTTTTAATATCTCTTTTGTCAGAACTATTTGTAAAGTTATCCTCAGAGACTTTCCAGCACAAGCTTGTAAGCTTTTCCCTCTCACTGGTGCAAGAAATGCATGCTGCAGAGTATTTGAGGTCACAAGAAGGTTGGGAGAGAAGCTAATTAGTAAGCCTAACAAATTATTCCAGTACGTGTGGCCTTCTAAACAAGCTGGTTCTGGTGCATAAGTGGTTTGCACACTGGTGCTGTGGATGTGAACAGCCCAGTTCAAAGCACAGGGTTTGTCCCAAAATGTTTACATCTTCTTTCTTTTGGATGAGTTTGAGTGAAGCTAAGTACAATTCAGCCAGACAATTTGGCCTAATTAGCACGTTTGATAATGCAGTGAGAATGTTTTTTATTTTGCACAGTGCTTTCACTTCAGAAGGGTGGTGCAGTTGTGGCCAGATGTTAAGAATTTGACTTGCTCTTCAGGACCCGCCATGTAGCTGCTACCATTTAGAACCAGTCTCATTCTCACGTGCTGGCTACTTTCATGGCTTCAAATTTTTTTGTTGTAGTCTCAAAACAACAACCTCCACTCCACCTTTGCTTCCTGACTAAAGGCAGCAGAGCAAAAAGATGTAGCAGTGCTGCAGTTGAAAGTGCCATGCAAGGAAGCACTAAAGAGTTCCTTGCAAAGCAGCTTAAGCTTTAACCTACTCTCCTCTTCCATTTCCAAGTGCTTTAGCTAGACATGGCAAGGCACAAAGCACCACTCCAACAGGAGCAGCCATAGGTGTGAGAAGGACTGGGAACCTGTCTACAGACAAGAAACCTGCAATAAACTTACACAAAGCCAAAGTTTTTTTCCACCTGGAAGTAGTAGATGGTATTAAGGATTGGTACCAACTGATATTTTGCTCAGATCCAACATTAGGATCTGACTTGTAGTATTGTCTAGCAAAATCAGTGCAGTTGGAGGGTATGTATGTTCCATCCCCAACAAATATTTTCATGCTTTTCAAGTGTCTGTCATGGCCTCATCACTCTTTCCCTGTAGCTTTTTGTTGTCTGAATGGGTATATGGTTACATGTGTCTGTTAAAAATAAAGGGGATCAGTTCTTACATGGTATATTTATATTTCTTATGTACAGATTTTGAGTACGTAGTGCTTCAGTTTCCAAAACTTACTTCTTTCTGTGTCCAAAAGACCAGTTGTTTGGCTTCTGGAATGATAACAAGGGTGGGAGAGCCTTAACAGGAAATCTCTGCCCAGTTGAAGCTCTTGGTGATAGATCCCCTGAGTATAATTCTGCAGCCTGGCCATATTTTTGATGTATAGGTCAAATATTCATGGTTACACCGTTGCTTTCTGATGCCTTTTGCTGAGCAGAAGTGCAGATATTTTTCTTTCAGAAGTTCACAGTTTGTATAACAAAGTCATTATGAAATGTGACATTAAGTTTGTTTTATTTTTGAATACGTGTGATGATTTTAAGAATTTTTTCCTTTTCTCCTTCCACTGGATGATTTAAATCTCACAAAAAAAATAAAGCAGACCAATGAAAAGAATTGAATGCTAACTTCAATTGAAAAGAAATAGCAACACTACTCTTGTGAGACAGTTTTCAGCAGTATTCAGCTTGCTGGTCCTGCTCAGCCTTTCCTTTCCTGCCTGCTCCCTGACCCTCTGTGACACTGAAATATCCACTTCTAGGACAACCTTCTTCCTAACCCGAAGGCTAAAAGTTTTTCCCTCTCTTTTTCTCCCATTTAAAATACCATCCTTGCATCAGCCAGATCTACTGTTTAGAGGGATCAAAAGCTCTTTTCCTCCTGCCTTATTCCCATCCATATCAATATCCAGGGCCCTGAGTGCGCTGCTCTCCTGTGAGAGGTAAAACTTAAATCCCTAAATCCAATACTTGACATAGTAACACTGCCAAAAAAAATGGTGGTTTGTTTTTTTTTTTTTTTAATCTATAGTACCCTAATGAAGTAGCTACCCTTGTTTGCTGAAGCAAATAATCAATTCTTTGGGAGATGGATTTAATTGCTGAAAAGTAACATTGCTCTAACTCGCGTTGTGGAAGCCCAGGAGCCAGGCTAAGGTATTCCACTCACATAAACACCACAGGCTATGTAACTAATCCTTACTTTGGTGAAACTTCAAAGGAAAAGACACTAAATTAACATGCTACAGGGAAGCAAATGCCATGGAAGGTGTAGCAAGGAAACCTGTTGGTATGATTCAATTTTGGATTCTAGCACAGATTCAAAACTCAAACTATTCTGGTGGCTTAGGCTACTTGTTTAATTTCTCCATGCCTTGGTTTCACAGCAGTAGAAGGGGCAAAAAAAGGAACTGTCAGGCAATAATTAGTTGATTATATGGTACTTCGAGGTCTTCAGTCTGAGGGAGTAACCTAATGTATTAAGTGCTAATGGAGCTTGTTCATGACCAAAGTTGGAGACGGGGCTAACACCAGCACTCAGCTTTGGAACATTATGAATAAAGTTCTCCCCATATTTTACCATCATGTCATATGGTAGATCAGAATCCCAAATCCAAATGTTGAAACTCTCATTCAGACTTGGACTTTGCCTATTTGGTCTATTTCTGACCACAACTAAATACATTCTCAAGCCATCCAGTTATTAAAATAAAAAAAAACCCACATATAAAAGTTTCATTTAAACAAATAATGCAGTTAGTAATGCCGGTCTACGAGTCTAAGAGTGTGAATAAATTAGAACGTTATTACTTGAGGGGAATAGGCATAAAAGAGCACTTCTGGAGTACTTGTTATTGTCCAAAATATCACTGAAATTCTGATGACTAAGTACAGTCTGCTTATCTCTATTTGAAACAGTGCTGTACGGATTCATTATTTCTAAAGGTCTTCTTTCCATTTCTATATAGATATTCTCCCTTCACATTTTGAAGGTTTGAAGAAGAGGATTGTTTTTCGAGTCACACTAAGTAAACATTAAATGCATGCAGGCTTAAAACTAAAGCATGCATGTTATGTAGCAGCAATAAAAAGTGCTCGGCTTGCACGACTTATGATGCTCAAGCGTTGCCTTGTTAAAATGCCAAAAAAATTTTTCTTTGCATTTTTTTGAAATGTAAATCTCTTCCTTTGACCCTGCAATACTTTTCAGTTTCTTTGGACGAATGATATTTATTTTACTGAACACTTTTATATTACAGATAAGGTGGATGAAATAGTACCAGTTTCCAAGCCATCAAGAATTGCAGACAATGCAGCTGTGGACTCGAGAGTGGCAACGATAAAACAGAGGCCTTCTAGTAGATGTTTTCCCTCAGCTACAGATATGAATGTGAGTGGGAGCTATGAAGTGCTGCTTTCATTTCTGGAACTGGTTGCAGGGGGTCTTTTGGCTTTAGATATTCATTTTACTTTTATTATCTTGTAACTTTTAAGGCGTGGTCTACGCTGCATTTCTAGTAATAGTTTTGGGACAGAACAGTCTACATACCCCTATAAAACCTTTCTCATTATGTCCTCATATTTATTCTGAGACTGTCACACCAACAGCATTGCTTCCTCAGTGTTACTCAAGCAGATGTGAACTTGAGCTGGTGAGAGCCCAGCAAGTTCTGAACTTGAAAGTGTCATTACAACACGAAGTCTAAGTTAAAAAAACATGCTGAAAAAAAAAGGTATGCTATTTCAGTTTCAGCACCAGAGTTAGTGCAGCCACATCATCCCCACTAATGCAAAAGTTTCTTCTACTGCAGGTTTTTATTGTCCTAATGGCATATATAATACCTCAATTAAATAATGCACGATGATTTGTAAGTGAAAAATTGACATTAATATTATAGCACTTATTAAAAATTAAACTCCAGAACTCTGAAACTGAATTGTTCAGTTGTAGGATTTGCTCTCACAAAACTTTGCATGTGAAAAAATAATTGGTTTTATTGCATTTTAGATATATTTTTCCATTACCCATCTTTCTGAAAGAGCATCAGTCCTGATGTAACAAGCACTTTCTGTTTGCAGCAGCTCAGAGTGGAAGGAAATTAAGGCTATTCTAAGAGGTAGAGTACAAATAGTTTTGTGATGAGGAGGAACAATTGAGAGCACTGGGATTCAGGTGGCATTCCTCAGTTCCCAGCTGAGATGCTGACTGCCAGTGTAACCTTGCACAAGACACCTTGAGTCTGTGAAAGACTCCAAGAATAGCTCTGGTCTTCAGAAGTGAAGGGAGATCACACAGAGGGAGCATTAATAGCTACAGGGTGTGTGGTTGGGTTTTTGGAACTGAATGAATTAAAATGCAGTTGCTCATGCTTACAATTTCTTACGGCACTCAAAATGTGCTGGAAACTTTAATATATTGCCTTGTAAATAATTTTAAGGAAATACACTTACAGCTGCTGTCACTTTATATAAATAAAGCCCTTCCCTTTCTGTTCCCCTCCTCCCTAGAATAACACTATTTTTTTTATTTTCCGTAGGAATTCTAAGTAAAAGGGATAGTGGATTAGCAGCTATGACAGAAGAGTTATTTACATGTGAGAGAGACATTCGTGCTTTAACGCTTATGGGGTTTCTGTTTGCTTTTTTGTAGTCCATGTATGAGAGACAGGGTATTGCCGTGATGACGCCCACTGTACCAGGGAGTCCTCAAGGTCCGTTTCTGGGTATACCTCGGGGTACAATGAGGAGACAAAAATCTATAGGTAAAATGCTTCTCATGTATAGTTTGCCTGTGCATTAATCATATACTTGTAGTAACTTTACTTCTTTCTTAAAGCATAGTCCTCCAACACCTTTGCCTCAGTGAGTGACTATTTAATTTTTGTACAAAGTTCATGAGAAAAGAAGTTTACGTGTAAAGTGATGTAATTTCCACATTCTGCTTTGATGGCAGCAGGCAACTATGGAATTATAATTTAATTGTTTTCTTTAGAATGTTGCCTCTAACAAGGAAAAAAAAAGATCAGTACAAGCCCTTTGCAAAGCATTGGGGCAAAACGTTATCCCTTTTTTCTTTGTTATTGAGGTAAAAGCACTGTAATGCTGTGTAGTTTACAAAGCAATCCTCTTGATCAAACAGACTAAAATTCTCCTTTTTTTCATATCAAATTACGGCAATAGATGGTTTTACAATAAAGAAAGGAAGAACAGACCCAAACAGACCAAATTTGGGTTTGCTTTTTTCTTGGTAGTAATCTTAGTAGTGATTTTTGTCAATTTAGAAACACATTATGTTGATGTAAAATTAGCATCCAAATTACCCCAGTATTACCTGGTTTATTTGTGTTAAAAGCTGTATTTGTAATAATATAATGTCATCCTTTGTAAGGAAACATTATGATTTTTGTCCTCAATAGGATCTTCACAGTTCCCTTGCTAAATTCCAAATGCATCTTAAAAATTCATTAGGTTTCCAAGTTGCATTATTATATGCATTTTATAGAGTGCTAGAGCAAGGCAGAAGCTACTCTTCTGCACAGAACATCTTCCCTCTTCAGTAATTTTCATAGAAAATGTGCTTCTCTACAGCTACCTTGATGATACATAAGCCCCAAACATTTGCCTACACATCAGTGATCAGTTTAATTAAAACTCTGTAGCGTCCTTTTCAATTCTGACATATGGAAGTCCAACAGGAAAGAATTCCTATGTAGGAATCAACCAAAAGACCTCCTTTAGAATTTTGCATATGCCTTGTGTCATGGGAAATGCACCCCAGCATTTTGGTTTGGATACAGTAATAATGCAGAGGGATCCCAGTGGAAGACAGTGTTTTAAATATACTTTCTGATTTTTTTAGGAATAACAGAGGAAGAACGACAGTTTCTGGCTCCTCCTATGCTGAAGTTTACCAGAAGTCTCTCAATGCCTGACACCTCTGAAGATATCCCACCACCACCACAGTCCTTACCTCCTTCACCACCGCCACCTTCTCCCTCTCTGTACAACTCCCCCAAATCCCTGACAACAAGGAGCTATGGAACTATTAAACCTCCATTTAACCAGAATTCAGGTGCAAAAATTTCCTTGGTTAGGCCTGAGAGCGTGGGAACAATGATAAGGGACAAAGGGATCTATTACAGACGAGAGCTGGACCGATACTCTCTGGACTCAGAAGACCTGTACAGTCGAAGTGCTGCATCTCAGGCAAATTTCAGGAACAAGAGGGGTCAGATGCCAGAAAATCCATATTCTGAGGTTGGGAAGATTGCAAGCAAAGCAGTTTACGTGCCGGCCAAACCAGCGAGGCGGAAGGGGATGCTGGTGAAACAATCCAACGTTGAGGACAGTCCAGAAAAGACCTGCTCTATTCCAATCCCAACAATCATTGTGAAAGAGCCATCCACCAGCAGCAGTGGGAAAAGCAGCCAAGGGAGCAGCATGGAGATCGATCCTCAGTCTTCAGAGCAACCGGGGCAGCTCCGGCCCGATGACAGCTTGGGTGTCAGCAGTCCGTTCGCAGCAGCCATTGCAGGGGCAGTGAGGGACAGGGAAAAGAGGCTGGAAGCAAGGAGGAATTCTCCAGCCTTCCTTTCCACAGACCTGGGAGATGAGGATGTTGGGCTAACCCCGCCAACACCACGCATGAGGCAATCTAAGTTCACCGATGAAGCAATGTTCAGTAGCGAGGATGGTTTCAGACAGCTCATGTCGCCATCGCCTATTCCTGCACCCAGAGAGCCTGAAAGTCTCTTTAATAGCAGTGAGCCCAGCAATCAGAGTGACTCAAGGACATTAAATGTTTCGTCCAAAATAAAAGGTACTGACAATAGTGCAGTGGCAGCCAAGTCCACGAACGCATCCAGCCCGGAGAGTTACGTGCACCCGGTCACAGGGAAGCTGTTGGATCCAAACTCACCACTAGCCCTCGCGCTCTCTGCCAGGGACAGAGCCATGAAAGAACAAACACAGCAGATTCCAGGCAAAGGAGATGCTGTCAAAACAGACCTTAACAAACCGCTTTACATTGATACAAAGCTGAGACCCAACATGGAAACAACTTTTCCTGTTACTGCCACTGTCACGAGGCAAAACACCCGTGGCTTGTTGAGACGGCAGGAGACTGAGAACAAGTATGAAACAGATGCAGGGAAAGAAAAGAAAGCTGAGGAGAAGAAGAACATGTTGATAAACATTGTGGATACCTCACAGCAGAAGTCAGCTGGCTTGTTGATGGTTCATACTGTGGACACAGTGAAGTCAGACGATATGGCTGAAGATGAGGAGGAAAAGGAAGCTGAGATGGAGCCAAGTCCTGAAAACTCCCCGCCAGAGAGGGTAGAGGGGAGCAAGGAAGTGGAAGAAAGTGAGCTGAACACACCTGCTGCACCTGAGCCACCGGCATCTCCCTGCAAAACCATCGTGGCAGCAAGCTCTGTCGACGACCCCGTCATCCTGCCCTTCCGCATCCCCCCACCACCCTTGGCATCGGTGGATATTGATGAAGAGTTTATGTTCACTGAGCCATTGCCCCCTCCCTTGGAGTTTGCCAACAGCTTTGATATCCCCGACGACCGCACGGCTCCCGGGTCGGCTCTGACAGACCTGATCACGCAGAGGAAGAATGGCACACCCTTCCCCCCCAGCCAGCCAACAAATTCCCTAGACAGCAAAAAGCAAGTGGGTCTTTCAAACTGTTTGCCTGCCTCCTTTCTGCCACCCCCTGACAGCTTTGATAACATCACTGACTCTGGGATTGAGGAGGTAGACAGCCGAAGTAGTAGTGACCATCACTTAGAGACAACCAGCACTATCTCAACGGTGTCCAGCATCTCTACCTTATCCTCAGAAGGGGGGGAGAATGTGGATACTTGTACAGTCTATGCAGATGGGCAAACATTTCTGGTGGACAAACCCCCAGTACCTCCTAAGCCAAAAATGAAGCCCATAATCAACAAAAGCAATGCACTTTACAAGGACGCGCTGATCGAGGAGACTGTGGACAGCTTTGTGATCCCTCCTCCCGCTCCGCCCCCGCCTCCCATCAGTGCCCAGCCCAACATGGCTAAAGTTGTTCCCCAAAGGACATCCAAGCTATGGGGGGATGTGCCGGAGGTGAAAAGCCCGATTCTCTCAGGCCCCAAGGCTAATGTTATAAGTGAATTGAACTCAATACTCCAGCAAATGAACAGAGAGAAATCCTCAAAGCCAGGGGAGGGATTGGAGTCACCGACTGGAACAAAGACTGCAAGTCTCAGTACAAGGTAAAAGTAATTAACCAAATAATTTCCTGATAAAGGCTTGATTTTTTTGCCAACCCCTCACTAACCTCTCACCGCTGCGACCCGGGTTCAATTCCCAGCCCCCTGGGCAGATGGAGCTCGTCAGCCCTGTG